ACAGAAAAAGAAGATACTGTCACAAAAACTTTCGAGGATACTTTTGTCTTTATTTATAAATTACCATGTAATGTACTAGGAATAGGAATTCAAAAATGAATAAAAACTTTTTATGTTGTACTTAAATGACACGTTTTAGGTCTATGTTTTGTAGAATGTACTCGTATAATTGGATTTTACTCTCTCTCTCTCTCTCTTATAGAACTGGTAACTTTGTTATTTAAAGATATTATGTCGGCGTATATCTTTTTTTTTCAAACAGTTACTTTAATTCGTCTTAATAATAGTTTGCGATACATAGCTTTTTGTTAATTAAAATATGGTAAGGATATAGAGGCAACTGCAGGGTAGAATTTGAATTCTATTATACGAAAAAAAGTGAATAATACTTGAGACTTTTTTTTTATTTTCACCGGATCTCTTTTGATGTCACGGTAAGGATGTGAAAGGAAACCAATATTCCCCACCCCACCCCCAAACCAGTTTGTGGGTCTGTGAGTGAGATTTTTTTTAAAAACAAATTTTATAATCAGACAGTATACTGATGTGAAGTACCCTGGAGGGGGACCTCGCCGATTTTGATAGTCAAAAAACTCAAAATGTAAACTACATTGTACATTGTATTGTTGTACTTAATTCTGTATATGTGTAGAAAACATTTTTATATAAAGCCTTCAATATACATTTATATAACAGTTAATGGATAGTATTCTTCAGTGCAAGAAAACTTGAATATTCAAGCATGCAGTATTAGTCAAATTTCAACAGAAATCTCTGGATGCTTTTTTGTCGAACACGTATTTGCAATAATTGTGAAGCCCTGCCACCATACTGGATTAAGATATTTTTCCAGTTCATGAATCTGTCACGTATATTTTAGATTACTTGTATCATATTAGATTTTACTTAAGTCGTTCCATCTCTGTGCTTCATTAAACACCAAGAGCACCTTGATCGATTTCAGATTGTCCATGATTTCCTGTCTTTTAATGGAGAGAGCGATGAAGTTAGAGAAGCGAACGGGGGACGGCAAGTGAGTCATCATTATTATCTTACTTTTGCTATAGAGGTTTAAAAATATGATCATTTTTATTTTTAATCTAGATCTCCATCAAGTAAATTCAAAAATAGCAAATTTAGCTGTGTTCAAGATAAATGTGACAATATTTTTTCACTTATATTGCATGAATGTGTATGCACAAATTTCTATAATATTTGGGTAAAACATCACTTTTATCCTGAACAAAGCTAAATTTGCTAGTTTTGAATTTACTTGATGGAGATCTAAATTAAAAATAAGAATAAAAGAAATGCTTTTTCATTTTGTTTAAAGTTTAGTGGATTGGTTAGCAACACTTGCAGGAAAAACAAAGATACTAAAGCGTATGATTACAAAGCATAAATAAAAATTAGCAGTTCATGTACTATAGTATATGTTATTAGTATTTAAATAAATTCAAGAGAGTAAACATTGACAAGAGTCTGAAAAAATGCTTCATTTTCTGTGGTTATTGAAATAAAATAAATTCATGAATTACATCTCTACATGTTTTTCTTACTACTTGTAGATTTTTCTTGCAATTTTTTCGAAAGAATCAAAATGAAAATCATCATTTAAAGTATAAAATGAAATTTATCAAAGTTTGTTCAACAAAAATAAGCAAATTTTTAATTAACTCTACTTGATTAACTAGATATTATATGAGAATGATATAAAAATGACAATGTTTAAGTTGACCTGAGCCAAAGGCTAAAATAAGCTTTTCTGATTGTAGAAAAGTGTTTGTCCTTCGTCTGTAAACTTTTTTTTTTTACATTTTCAGCTTAAATAAGAGCGAGAAAATTGTTGGCTTTATTAAAAAATCATCTCAAAGACAGAGGAAAAATCTTATATGAATACTGTAAATTTCAATATGTTCATTTCATGGATCATGGGGCTAGGATGAGGCGGAAATAGTTTAATGTCGGAATAAGGAAATGTCTGTAAAAATCGTGCCTGGAAACAGCAGGGTTTCAATTATTCATACTGGTATAAAAGCATCTCCATGTATAGTGCTCATTCAAGTTTGTTCAGATCATAACCCGTGGCTAGGATGAAGACACAAACGGGAGTCAAAATTTGGACCACTTTTCATGTATGTCAATAAATGTAATATGCATGTCCTTTTCATTGTGTGCACTGGCCTTTAGATCGCTTAAAAAAATTTATGTGTAAAAAAAAATAATTTTTTTCAACACTTCGATTTTTTTCAAGCGATTGTATGATTGTAATATAATTATGGTCCACGGAGCATTTAAGAGTGAGGACTTGAATAAAGAATCAAAATTAAATGTTGAAATTTTAATGGAAAAAAATTATCAAAGCTTCTGCCTGATCCCACCTCTGATGTTTTGGAGGTCCATGTTTGCTCTGCTCCTATTTTGTATTGTTTTATGGACTTTTGATCTTGAATACTGTTCCCTGCTTTTAACAAAAATACAAGCTCAGTCGTTTGACAGGAGAACTAAGCAACATGAATACTGTTCGTTATCTCCGTATGTTTCATTCTAGGGAACACCAGGATTATAATTAATATAACAGAAATTCATTCTAATGTTTTCAAGATTTTCTATTCCTCAATCCATGGGTAGGAACTTGATCACGTTTTAAACAAAAAAATATATGGACACGACGGACATTCACAAGAACATGCAAAATTGACTATATCGATAAGCCTATATTTAATGCAAGATTCTGATGAAAAATACATGCGTCTGTATATCATTTTCTTATGTGTTGTTTAAGAGTCCTGAGCTTGATTTGAGGTTCTTTTTCATTTTTTTAAAACTCTTTATACTATCTTTTTCTAAATTAAATATGACTGACTCTAGGAAGTCTCAGATTGTTTGCCTGTTCGATACCTAGATTAGTGAAAAGTGATCGTTTACTTTGTACAAAAAAAGGTTCATTAATTCTGGAAAATCCCTAATCTTTTTTACATCATAAATGTATCATTGTTATAAAGATTAAAGCCATGGTGATTTTCTAAGCAATGATTTTCTTCTGTACGATTTCTAATTAAAAGTGTATTCCACGATGATCGTTGAAAGATTTTTTAAAGTTCTTTGCAAATAAAAAAAAAATCAATGAATAATACAAGGAAAACACTCGTAAATTGGCAGAATTATTTTTGTGAGTTATACATGGATATGATTAATAAAAAAAATTATATGTTCAAACCATCATGCATGAAACATATATTCAAAAAATTCTCTCAAACAGTTCTGTACAAAATAATACATTTATTGAATTCCTTTTTAAAAATTAAAAAAAGTTTTAGAAGGCTAGCTAAAATTCACGGCTGTCCTCCAAAAGCAGACCTTAATTAAAATTATCAAGAACAAGTTATAAGATCCATCTTTGAATGTTAGAACCTATCGGGCCCATAGTAAGCAGGTTACGGTGGGGTGGGGGTGGGTGCTTTTTAGAATAGTCTTTTGTTGTGATTTTTACTTGTGAATTTTCATTTAGATGCTGCTTGTTCCCATTCCCCTGCTGAATGGACGAATCCCAACTCCTCCGTGAACAACAATAAGACGCTGTCCTTGACCCGAGGGAACCTAGAATTCCTCCATTCCCGCCCGACTTCCTTATCTATGTATTTTGCAAACTAGATCTGGCTGTGTATCTCTTATCTTCTGATTTCGTTAATTCACATTATTTAAACATTTTCAAACCTTCATCGACATACGCATAGATACTATTTTTCTTATGTAATTGTAACTAAGATAAACAAAAACAAACAAATAAATCACTCATCAACTCAGTATTCGTTGACTCTCAGTCCTTTTAAAAAAACAACCAATGGTTTGCAATTAATTTGTTCCTTATAATTTTATACATTCTTTCAAATAATTGTATTACATTGAAAACAAATGTAATTGGTAACTGGTCTGTCTACATTGCAGCTTTTTATTATTTACAGCTTGTTTACCTCGACGATGATGATTTGCCCATCTTAAAGCAAAAGACACTGGATTCGCATTTTAAATAAATGACAGATAGGATTCATTCCTAAAAAAATCCAAAACATTCATTAATTAAATACATAATTATTCTTTCTTTTGGTAGCTTAAAAAAGTAAATAATAAATTGCCTCTATATCAGCCATACTGTTCACCAATAGAAATGTGAGTACGTATTATATTCAATATGAAAAATGTATTCGTAGACATCCCCCCCAATGAAATTTCACCTATACAGCTACACTAATTTTTCAAACTTTACCTGTCTATATATCAGAATTAAGACCTTGTCATGCCCGGACAACCAATCGAACACGATCAATAATACCCACCTTAACAATCAGATGGCAATTGTTGAAAGACTGCTGAAATGTATGAAGACAGCGAACAGTATTCAAGCTCAAAAGTCCATAATACAATACAAAATAGTATGGAAACGTCATTCAGCATTTGACTCAGTGATAAATTGTATCTGCTGACAAGGTCATTGTATTGACCATAGAGCTTACGAAATGATGAATTTAAACGAGACTGCTGAAATTCTTGTTTCATCAACTTGTTTGTCAATACCTTTTTACCTCGTTTTAGAAATTGTACATGCGATAGTTGCAAAACAAGCTAAATCTCCACATCCCGAATCTCTTTTCAAAGTATTGACTCTACCCCATAGAAGCCTCTTAGAGTCTGTGTCTGTGTAAACTTTTACGGAGATCATGAAGCGCTTTCTGATTGATGAAAAATTTAGGTATAATCTTTTTTTCGTCTCTATGGCGTACCAGAACATTTAAACTGACACGGATTTTTTCGCGTCTTTCAGAGATCACGGAGAGATCGCGCACTTTGTTCTGCTCTCAACTTTCTCTTTATGTGCGAGGAGACTCATTTGTTATATTCTTCAAATATGGATACGTCTATGTTTTACAGGATTCTGAACTTTTTTTCACAGCTTCCCTTTTTATACAGGTAATATGGCATTCGGCATCAATAAAACGAATTCCGTTCCAAACACTGTGTACAGTATGATTGGTGCTAGCAGTGTTGGACCCATCACGTGGGACGATGCCACGTGGATCTTAACCAGTTCATTTATCATCTTTACCATGCAATCAGGTAAGTCCGATCTTGGTGGTGGCTTCTATTCAAATGTTGGGTTGGTTAAACATAGTTGCTAGTGGTGGTGGTGGTGTGTGTGGGGTGTGTGTGAGGATGTGTGTGCATTTTACATGTACATGTACATTTTAGTCAAATTCTTGATAAACTTCCTATATGTTTGAAAGCTCTTCTGTTTGATGATTTGTATGTACTTTTTTGGCGATTGGTGTCGAATTATAATCATGAACTGTTTTTGTTCTTTATACCCGGTAACTATAAGCTTGGAAGTGATCAGGGGCAAGCGAACTTGTATCTGACTACGACTGAAAGAGGAAATTAAAAGATTAGTTTTAAGAAAAAGAAAATCAATATTTAATCTAAAGACAAAAAATGAAAATTAATACCATAATAAATATTATAGAGATTTTCTGATAAGCTAGTCTAAAAATCAAAGGTTTCAAACTTGAATGTCACTATTTCTGACTTTAGAACGTGTATGACTCTGATAGAAAAAGCTAAGCTCATGTTTAATAAACTCCATTAATTTTGACGAGATCAATAGTGATTTTTTTGTTGCTTTAAAGTCATATATGGCATATTTTTGATAAGTTCAGACTAATCAGATTTTAAAAGATATTTCTATTTGTTTGTTACTTTATAAAAAGATAGGATTTTCCTCTGAAAATCAGATACATGATAATATAAAGGTTCAAAATCGGTGAAAATTTTAATTCTTGATTCTGGAATGTTAATTGGAGATTATATTAAAAGTGTTTGTCTTGGTCTTCTTCTCTCTTTCCCTGTCTTGATCGCCCTCTCTCTCCCTTGGGTTGTTTGTCTTGATCGCCCTCTCTCTCCTTGTGGTTGTTTGTCTTGATCTTCCTGTCTTTCCTTGTGTTTGTTTGTCCTGGGGTTGTTCGCCCTCTCTCTCCTTGTGGTTGTTTGTCTTGATCTTCCTGTCTTTCCTTGTGTTTGTTTGTCCTGGGGTTGTTTGTCTTGATTTCCTGTCTTTCCTTGTGTTTGTTTGTCCTGGGGTTGTTTGTCTTGATCTTCCTCTCTCTCCTTGTGGTTGTTTATCCTGGGTTTGTTTGCCTGATCTTCCTCTCTCACCCTGTGGTTGTTTGTCCTGTGGTTGTTTGTCTTGATCTTCCTCTCTCACCCTGTGGTTGTTTGTCCTATGGTTGTTTGTCTTGATCTTCCTCTCTCACCCTGTGGTTGTTTGTCCTGTGGTTGTTTGTCTTGATCTTCCTCTCTCTCCTTGTGGTTGTTTGTCCTGAGGTTGTTGGTGTTGATATTCCTCTCTTTCCTTGTGTTTGTTTGTCCTGGGGTCGTTTGTCTTGATCGCCCTCTATTTCACTTGGGTTGTTTGTGTTGATCGCCCTCTCTCCCTGTGGTTGTTTGTCTTGATCTTCCTCTGTCTCCTTGTTGTTGTTTTTCCTGTGCTTGTTTGTCTTGATCTTCCTCTCTCACCCTGTGGTTGTTTGTCCTGTGGTTGTTTGTCTTGATCTTCCTCTCTCTCCCTGTTGTTGTTTTTCCTGGGATCGTTTGTCTTCATCTTCCTATCTCTCCCTGTGATTGTTTGTCCTGGGGTTGTTTGTCTTGATCTTCTCTCTCCCTGTGGTTGTTTGTCTTGATCACCCTCTCTCTCCTTGTTGTCGTTTTTCTTAGTCTTCTTCTCTCTCCCTGTGGTTGTTTGTCTTGATCTTCCTTTCTCTCTCCTTGTGATTGTTTGTCCTGTGGTTGTTTGTCTTGATCTTCCTCTCTCTCCTTGTGGTTGTTTGTCTTGATCTTCCTCTCTCTCCTTGTTGTTGTTTGTCTTAGTCTTCTTCTCTCTCCCTGTGGTTGTTTGTCCTGTGGTTGTTTGTCTTGATCTTCCTCTCTCTCTCCTTGTGATTGTTTGTCCTGTGGTTGTTTGTCTTGATCTTTCTCTCTCTCCTTTTGGTTGTTTGTCTTCATCTTCCTCTCTCTCCCTGTGATTGTTTGTCCTGTGGTTGTTTGTCTTGATCTTCCTCTCTCTCCCTGTGGTTGTTTGTCCTGGGGTTGTTTGTCTTGATCTTCTATCTCTCCCTGTGGTTGTTTGTCCTGTGGTTGTTTGTCTTGATCTTCCTCTCTCTCCTTTTGGTTGTTTGTCCTGTGGTTGTTTGTCTTGATCATCTCTCTCCCTGTGGTTGTTTGTCCTGGGGTTGTTTGTCTTCTCTCCCTTGGGTTGTTTGTCCTCTCTCTCTCCTGTGGTTGTTTGTCCTGGGTTGTTTGTCTTGTTGATCTCTCTCCCTGTGGTTGTTTGTCTTGATCACCCTCTCTCTCCTTGTTGTCGTTTTTCTTAGTCTTCCTCTCTCTCCCTGTGATTGTTTGTCCTGTGGTTGTTTGTCTTGATCTTCCTCTCTCTCCTTGTGATTGTTTGTCTTGATCTTCCTCTCTCTCCTTGTGGTTGTTTGTCCTTTGTTTGTTTGACTTGATCTTCCTCTCTCTCCCTGTGGTTATTTGTCCTGAGGTTGTTTGTCTTCATCTTCTACTCTCTCCTTGTTGTTGTTTGTATTCTCTTCTTCTCTCTTTCCCTGTTTTGATCACCTTCTATTTCCCCGGGGTTGTTTGTCTTGATTGTCCTCTCTCTCCTTGTGGTTGTTTGTCCTGGGGTTATTTGCCTTGATCTTCCTCTCTCTCCTTGTGGATGTTTGTCCTGGAGTTTTTTGTCTTGATCGCCCTCTCTCTCCTTGGGTTGTTTGTCTTGATCACCCTCTCTCTCGCTTGGGTTGTTTGCCTTGATCTTTCTCTCTCTCCCTTTGGTTGTTTGTCTTGATCTTCCTCTCTTTCCCTGGGGTTGTTTGTCCTGGGGTTGTTTGTCTTCGTCTTCCTCTCTCTCCTTGTGGTTGTTTGTCTTGATCTTCCTCTGTTTCCTTGTGGTTGTTTGTCCTGTGGTTGTTTGTCTTCATCTTTCACTCTCTCCTTGTGGTTGTTTGTCTTGATCTTCCTCTGTTTCCTTGTGGTTGTTTGTCCTTTGTTTGTTTGTCTTCATCTTCCACTCTCTCCCTGTGGTTGTTTGTCCTGGGGTTGTTTGCCTTCATCTTCCACTCTCTTCCTGGAATTGTCTTGAATTCCCCTCCATCCCCGGGGTTGTGTTTTTCGTGACTATCCCCTCTCTCTCTCTGGGGTTGTTTGTCTTGATCACCCTCTCTCTTCCTAGGGTTGTTTGTGTTGTCAATGCAATCTTGTTTTCAATCCGCCTTTTTTTGTTACTTTTTTTTTGCAAACCTCTAATGTCCCAATTCTTAAGAGAAAGAGTGTGATCAAGACAAACAAAAGACTGACTCTTAATTTTAAGGTTAGTCATTTCAACTTAGCATATACAAGCATATTCCAAGCTGTAAGTATAAAATGCCTTTTCTATCTACTAATTTATTCTTTCAATCGACAGGATTTGGTTTGCTTGAGGCTGGTTGCATTTCAAGCAAAAATGAGGTAAACATTATGGTAAAAAACGCCGTGGATGTTGTATTTGGAGGTTTGTCTTACTGGATGATCGGGTTTGGACTCAGCTTCGGTGACGACGAGTACTCCAATCCTTTCTGTGGAATAGGATATTTCTTTGTGGATACCACAGACGAACACATGGGAATTCTTTATTCCACATTTGTGTTCCAAATGTCTTTTGCCACTACAGCAACGACAATAGTATCTGGCGCCATGGCGGAAAGAACCAAGATGACTGCATACATCATCTTCTCGTTCTTTAATACACTGATTTACTGCATTCCGTCTCACTGGGAGTGGGCAGCTAATGGATTTCTGCGAACATTAGGAGTGGTCGACGTGGCGGGGGCCGGGGCCGTTCATCTTGTAGGTGGTATATCGGCACTTGTTGCGACTATTATTCTCAGGCCGAGAATCGGTCGTTATGATAATGGGATAAAGCCGCCACCTCTTGGTAACCCAGTCAGTGCATTGATTGGGATGTTCATGCTCTGGTAAATAATTTTTTAAAGTTAATAATATCCCAATGAAATGAACGTTCAATTTTTACTTAAAAGATTCTGGAGATCCTCATTGACAACATTAATGTAGTTTTCGTAGACCAGGTCTTCCTACAATTTTTTGAATTAAGAAGTGCACTTATTATGCTCCTTTATTTAGTTGACTTGTTCTATATTTTCATGAAACAGAATTTATTCATAATCTTCTACATGAAGAGAAGAAAAAAAATTTGCTGTGGATTTCAATTTTTTATTTAGTTATTCGACGATGTTTTATCTATTAACAGTAGTTACTTTATATGTTGATATATCCCAGTAACTTTAAATAAAAGACACTACAGAATCTGCCACCTCTGTTTCATATTTGGGTGTTTCTGACTATAGACGAAAAGACTAAATAACAACTACATTAAATGACAAACATGATAACTTCAGTTTGTACACCGTCAACTTTATTTATGTAGTCAGACTCCGTTATCACCTATATTTTCGAGACAAGCTACTGGTAGATAAGTTGCTGTTACAGAGATTTCAACAATCTCATTTAAAAGTGCAAATTTTATGACCATTATAATAATCTAACAAATATCACCCATCACTGGGTTGTGTTTTTGTTGCTTAATACCAATGTTTTGATAAACTAAGTTTGACTGCAGAATGCTCCTTCTTGGCGGGACAGCAGGGGATGCTTACACCTCCTAGGCACCTGATCCCACCTCTGGAATACAGGGGTCTTTGTTTTATAGTTTCTTCACAAATTAGTACTGTTTGTAGATTGCTTTTTAAAGATCGATCACTCTTCTTTTCCCCCTTTTTATTGTATTATTAATTTGGTAGTTGCTATCGGTCCAATCTGCCTTAAGATTTTATGCTACTTTTAGATTTTTTTTCTTTTAAACCAAATGATGCACAAAAAAGTTATATATTTTTGGAATTTTTCTTTCATTATAACATTACGTCGATCGAACATCTGTATTTCAAATAGAGACCATAAACTCAATTAACAACTAAAAGCAAATTGAATCTGCAAATTAGAAATCATTGAAGTTAATCGATGGTTTGTAATTCATTCTCTTATTGAATATCAGTAAATCCTAAAGTTGCAGCAGTATTAGACATTACAATCTGATATTGCTGCAGCTAAAGGACTTATTGATACGTCTCTCTCTCTCTCTCTCCAGGTGGGGCTGGCTGGCTTTCAACTGTGGAAGTACCTTCGGAATCTCGGGAGGCAAATGGAAATTGGCGGCAAAGTGAGTATCAATCCTTAACTTTCGTTAATGAACTTCTTAAAGGTAAATTTAAATCAAAGCTGCCTTGCGTCAGAATAAACCTACTTCTTGGTCCACTTGTAATGGGATAAATGAGAGGGGCTTTGTAGTTAAGGAAGTAGTCGACAATAATGGCTGCAGACATGCACATGGTTGTTCTGTAGTCTTTGTGACGCAACACATTGCTCCATTACTAGGGGAAGTCTCAGGGAAGTCACATCAAAGACACAATACCTGGCTCTCTTTATATTAAGTAAATACACTCAAGGACAGGTGTCAAAAGGCAGGACTTTTTGGTCTATTCTGAACATTAAAGTCAAAATTAAATCAAAATGTAGATCAACATTTCTATGAGCTTTTTTTTCAAATTGCCTATTTTAGCAATATTTTTAGATTTTAAATAAGTATACATTTAATGAAGTTGATAAAAAAAGAAATTCCAATCAAATATTGATATCACTGATTAATGCAGGTCGGCTGTGGTCACTTTGAACGGGTCCATTGGTGGTGGAGCGATTGGCATCCTTATCTCGTAAGTTAAAAATATCATGAAGTCGACAAAATAAATATCACTGAGTTTCAAACAGAATTTAATTTTTTTTTATTCTTTTCAGATATATTCGATTCAAGGGTAAATACGACATCAGTTGCATTGTGAACTCGGTGTTAGGTTCCCTTGTATCCATAACAGGTATTAACATTATTTAATTTTTCTGTTTTTCAACAGAATTCATATATACATTTCGTAAACTTGCATTTTGAAGATTTTGTTCCACAGGTGCTTGTGCGGTAATTCGACCATGGGAAGCGCTCGTGGTTGGTGCCTTGGGTGGGGCGTTGTCGCTGATGTCAATTCACGTTTTAGACAAACTGAAGATAGATGATCCTGTGGGAGCGAGCTCAGTACACGGGACTTGTGGTATATGGGTAAGTAGGTTTTGAAATAAATCTTTGAATCTTTAACATCTCAGTCACAAAGCTACCCGTGGGCGGAATTTTTTGTTAACCATCTGATTGTCGTATCATTTCGCCTTTGCAAATGACCTTCCTTTAACCACATGTCCATGTCATTATTTCTCAAGTATGACTATCCATTATAAACGTACTACCTGGCACTATGCCATGTACTCACAACTACGACAGCTGTTTGATACACATCAGACAAAAAACATACTGTTTAGTGTTACTATAAATATTTGCATCAAAGAAGTTTAAGACAGAGCAACATTAGAATGTGACCTTAAATAATAAATACCTATCTGTCGAACATTCATGACATAAAAAGGATCTTGCATGCGCAATAATGCTATAATTAGTTCATTCTGTCCAGGGATTGCTGGCTGTTGGTCTGTTTGCCAGATACGATCCGCTGGAGAACACCACGATGGGCCGTAGTGGCGTTTTTCATGGTGGTGGTTTCTATTTACTGGGAGTTCAGCTACTTGCTGTGGTGGTGATTTCCGTGTGGAGTGCTGTTTTATCCTTGGTTGTACTTATGGTAATGATTTTTTGATTGTTGAGGTTGTCTATCCCTCGGTTCTCAAAATAAGTTCTTTAATAATTTGTTTTATGTCTCTCAAAATCGATTTTCAAAAATATTTTGAAAAATTAACATTAGATTAATCCTCATATTATCAGCTTTTTGTATTTTTTAAAGATTTTGAAGTTTACAGTTGGACTAAGATTGAGTGTTGATCAAGAACTCATGGGTGCCGACTATTCCGAGCACATGATTGGTCATGAAACCTTAGTGGAACATATGATCCAAGATTATATACAGGATTCCCACGAGACTCGCGAAACACCACTGTCTTCAGTTTCTGGAAAAGTCAACAGTTGTGCCGATGAATTACAACTTTGTGAAAAAGATGGAAATATCGAAAACAAGAAGAGAAAAGAGCAAAACAAGTGTGTAACATTTCGCAGAGGTTCATGTATTTCCAGGCTTTCTTACCAAATCTCCAGGAGCGTTCTCACAAAACAAGAGAAGGTGGCACCTGTTAATAACAACAGTAATGGAATCCCAGGCCAAATAGAAGGACACGTGTAACAATGTACCGTGACTGTTACAAATATTTATGTGTTGAATTTTATACACTTTTTCATGACTAGACATCAGTTAACATTGTGTCTATCACTAGGCCGCATGGCTTGATGGTTTTGATTCTGGCTACATATAGCAACTAACCTTTTACATACCATTCGTAAATTCCTCTCCAACAACAAATAGCTTGTTAAAGCTTACATTAAGTTTTTAATTTGTTGGTAACAATGTCGTAACGACGTCTTGGTGGAGAATTCGAAGTAACTGACATCAAATAATTGTTTGACCTGACATTTAAGCGCTCTCTATCTACAAACTATTTTTGAGTTACAAAATCCTGCAGATTAGTCCGAAATATCTGACTTTTTCGATACTTTTTAACAATTTTAATATTTTATGCCAGCGTGGAAAATTTCAGATATTTCGGACTAAATCCAGCTATGAACTCGAGAGTAGCAATATGGAGCGTTTTCCTATGATAATTAAATACATAAAGATTCTATTGTTGATTTTCCGACAAGGATCGATCATACATTTCCTAATCCAACATTTAGTCATTAAAAAATAAATATTGCCGAATTAAAAACTTCTGTCAAATGGCGAATAGATTCTCATTGGTTAAGAAATTAATAACATCAGGAACTTAATATGAATTGTTGTTGACAACGATGAGACGACTTAAGGTCTACCTCTTTGCCGGACGAGACAATGTTATTGGTTATTCGAAACACTAATTGGCATTTGCCTGAATTTCTATCCCATGTATACTCGCAGTATTTCAACAGTGAATGAAAGCTGTGTAAATTTCAGATGCTAATTATGTAATGTTGAGAATACCACGCCTTACTGAAAGTCCAAGCGTACCTGAGAATTGTCCTATTTCGGGTACATGTAGCATTTAAAATTATTTCTAAAATTTATCGATTTTAATAAATGTCAAAAAAAAAAAAATCATGACAGATTGCAAATGACAATTCAAAATATTGAGAAAAAAAACGAATATTATAAACGTCCCTCTTGTTAAGAGGTGCAATAATGAACGAAAGACATTAATGTAAGCATAACTCTCAATATTATATATGCATAATTATGTGTCCCATTTATTTGTCGATATGAATCTATAGAAAACAAAGCTAATGTAACTTTACCGATGTTCAGCCTCCATAATTAAGTCCGATAGCGGGATACTTTTAATCACTTTTTATTCGCGAGAACTTTATTTTAGCGTAATTACGCGAGACAGCTTGCTTGCGAATTTTGAAATCTCGCGTATAATAGTATTCCTTGACTATATAGAGTAATAACCAAAATTCGTAAAAAAAATTGTCTCGCTAATCAAGAGTCAAGAACTATCTCGCGAAATTTTTTAAAAGGATCTACAGTAGTACATGTGCATGCAAATGCTACCTCGGTGTCGATGGAATATTTTAAGATTTATCAACATGTTATACATATACTTTTGTGTAATTTCTTCACATAACTTGTCATACTTGTCAAAATCATTGAAAATTATGTTTTCATTGGAATGTTGTGAATCTATAGCCCCAGAAATTTAAAGACCCTCTTTTTAAGAATAATATTTAAATTTATCATACATGTAATTTACTTGTACATTTTTAAGTCTTTCAGGTGATAAACCTTTTGTTTTTTTAAATCAGTCATCGTTCGTTGGTCAAACTTTTGATCATTTTCAGGTTCTCTATAATTCCAGACCCATTTTCAACAAATTGTAGCACATCATTGCCACAGGAACCGGAGGAGTGGGGGGGGGGGGGGGGGCAATTATTTCGCCAATATACAAAAACATATCCACTACTTGTATATGCTTGTGCCGCCTCAATAAAAACGATTGTTGACCCCTTTTTTGCTAGTCTATGAATATTTGGTGGTTGATAGTGTCCCCAACTGAAAAAGGGCTCCCCCACTGAAGTTGCCTCCTATGGGCCTGTATATTGCATCAATGGGTAAACGGATACAATAGCACGACTGGCTTGATCCCTGTCAACCTTGGTTCATAGGGTTGACAATAAAATTAAAATTAGTGCTGTTTTGAAAATTAATTTCTTTAGTCCCATGGGCACTGAAAGTGCCCCGTGGGAGTAAAGTAGTAAAAAAAGACATTATGTCTACTTAGGATTTGTTACCGAGTACTAAATTAATATGGCTTCATCTATCAATTTAATATTGTTTTATTCCATACTTCTATGGATCCCTTACAAATTTACAATATTATTCTCAGGTGACTGTTAAGGCCCTTATGCCTCTTGTCTTTAATGCCTTTGTAAAAGATTCATGTTCAAATATTTACCCATCTTCGCTAGCCAAGGGTTTCTGATCCGAAATCTACTGTTGTAGAGTAGATTTCGGATCGGAAACCCCTTGGCTAGCGAAGATATTTACCGTTCATTTTCGCTATTTAATTGCTTGCTTTATAATACATCATCATGCTAATGTTAACTGTTATGAAATAAATTACATATCATGATTGGATGGACTTTTCCCTTTATTTTCAGGAATTTAATACAGTTCAATGGCCAATCCAAACTTACAATAATTTAATAAATAATTTTATTATTAACTGGATTGAAGCATAAGTGTTTTTTTTCTCTATATATATATGTATACGTACACAAATGTACACAATTAAGAAGCTTATGAACTTGGATATTTAAACAATAAAATGCTTTCTTTGGTTGTTAGTACAGGAATGAATGTCGCAGCTATTGCAAAAACAATACAAAACCGGCGTAAGCGGGTTATGTAAATTTTTTCTGCAATAGATGCGACATTCATCCCGTAATAAAAACCAAAGAAAGACATGTTATTATTTATATTTACATATATCTGTTTAAATAATCAATTTAAGTAGGATTAGAAACATTAATTATTGCATTAATGAGGCGAACATCTTTGTACGTTTCACTGATGGAACAGCCACTGATCATGAAATCTGTACAGGTGACATGCCTAGTGTAGTTCATGCACTGATTAACACAATGGTGTTTCTTAAGAAATAAAGGAGGAAATATTCAGTGGATGTAAATAGTCAAACAGAAATTTCCTGTAGTTGCTTCTTTATATAGAAAATAAGAGTATGATAAGTGTGCCTTGTATGATAAATATTCTTTGCCTATCATAAACAGGCACTATAATTACTTTGTTGAGGAAAAAATATTTATACCCCACGCAACTAGTTGCGTGAGGTATAATGTTTTTGACCCGTCCGTCAGTCCGTCAGTCCTGTTTTTTTGTCAGCGCAACTCCTCATAAACTGCTGCACAGAATTTCGTCAAACTTTGCAGGTGTTTAGGACACAATGTTTAGATGTGCATATTACCAGAAAATTCCGATTCCATTATTTTTTCCGGGAATTTCCGCACTTTTTAACTTAGGCATTTGGCCATACCTTGAATATAGAGATGAACAGTTTGTCAGCGCAACTCCTCATAAACTGCTGCACAGAATTTCGTCAAACTTTGGAGATATCTAGGACACAGTGTGTAGATGTGCACATTACCAGGAAATTCCGATTCCTTTTATTTCTTCCGGGAATTTCCGCACTAAAGACTTAGGTTTTTGGTCATACCATTTATACAGTTTGTCAGCGCAACTCCTCATAAACCGCTGCACAGAATTTCGTTAAACTTAGCAGATATTTAGGACACAATATGTAGATGTGCATATTACCAGGAAATTCCGATTCCTTTATTTTTTCCGGGAATTTCCGCACTAAAAACTTAGGTTTTTGGCCATACCTTTTATACAGAGATGAACAGTTTGTCAGCGCAATTCCTCATAAACCGCTGCACAGAATTTCGTCAAACTTTGGAGATATTTAGGACAAAATGTGTAGATGTGCATATTACCAGGAAATTCCGATTTTTTTTCATTTTTTCCTAGAATTTCCACACTTTTCAACTTAGATTTTTGGCCATACATTGAATATAGAGATGAACATTTTGTCAGCGCAACTCCTCATAAACCGCTGCACAGATTTTCGTCAAACTTTGGAGATATTTAGGACACAGTGTGTAGATGTGCACATTACCAGGAAATTCCGATTCCTTAATTTTTCTGGGAATATAGCACTTTTCAAATTAGATGTTTGGCCATACCTTGAATATACAGATGAATATTTTGTCAGCGCGACCCCTCATAAACCGCTGCACAGAATTTCGTCAGACTTTGCAGATATTTAGGACACAATGTATAGATGTGCATTTTACCAGGAAATTCCGAATCCTTTATTTTTCTGGGAATTTCGGCACTTTACAACTTAGATTTTTGGGGATATCTTAAATATAGTGATGAACAGTTTGTCAGGCAACCCCTCATAAACCGCTGCACAGAATTTCGTCAAACTTTGGAGATATTTAGGACACAATATGTAGAGGTGCATATTACCAGGAAATTCCGATTCCTTTATTTTTCCGGGAATTTCCGCACTAAAAACTTGGGTTTTTGGTCACACCTTTTATACAGTTTGTCAGCGCAACTCCTCATAAACTGCTGCACAGAATTTCGTTAAACTTTGCAGATATTTAGGACACAATATGTAGATGTGAATATTACCAGGAAATTCCGATTCCTTTATTTTTCCAGGAATTTCCGCACTAAAAACTTAGGGTTTTGGCCATACCTTTTATATAGAGATGAACAATTTGTCAGCGCAAATCCTCATAAACCGCTGCACAGAATTTCGTCAAACTTTGCAGATATTTAGGACACAATTTGTAGATGTGCATATTACTGGGAAATTCCGATTTTTTTTTTTTTCATTTTTTTCCGGGATTTTCAGCACTTTGAGTTTTGGGGGAGCGTGGGGTATGTGAGCTTGCTCACCTTTTCTTTCATTTTTTAAAAAATTATCAAAAACTTCACTTTTAAAAATGTGTAATTTTTTTTATCAAACACTGTAGAAGTACTTTTTTCCACGTGGAATTAATTTACGCTATGTACGCGGTCACAATTTGTCCGCGGAAATTTGTCCCATCGTACTCAAAATACTTGTAAGGAATATAGTGAGAGTTTAAGAAATCCGCATAATTTTCTACACATGGATTAAAGAGAAATCAAGATTCGGTGGAATTATGACCCAGTGGAAATTAGTACGTCTACAGTATTGAAAAAATATACATTAAATTACCACATCTATCTCTCAACAGCAAGTATTTCTCTTGAAAACTGCTAATCATTCAAACCATCTTTAAATTAATAGGACACATTTTCTGACAAAAGTAACATTCACTCATCATCTTTATTTTATCACACCATATCTGTCTCCTATGCTAAAAACAAATATTCAATGTATCCATGAAACAAAACAAAATCTTACATATTAAAGAAGTGTAAGTATAGAGTTTCATTTTCACTGAGCCATACAAGTTAATTTGGCTATCGGCTCTTCTTCTGGAAGACCGAATGTTATGGGACAACATTTAAAAACACTAAATCATATATCACTAGTACTAATTGTAACGGGAACCGTTACAGATGTTCCCCAAACGCTCCCCAACTCCCTTTTGGTGCCATATTCCCTGTAAGCTTCATTAAATAAGACAAACTCTGTGCATTACGTTTTCCTAAAAGGATACCAATTATATTCAAATTTTAGCATTGCACCCAAGCGCATATGAATGCATGTGCGTTATGAACATATCATCTTGTCTACACTATCTACATATTTTAATAACTATACATTAAAGCATTCAGTCCAAAAGTAATAAAAAATCACTCATTCAAGTGTATTTTCATATACTCGTTCCAAATGCACGCACGTGCGTGCACGTGCATGATGACCATACCTTCTTATAGGGGTCCCTTACATCTATCTATGTCCCTTACATCTATCTATGTCCCTTACATCTATCTATGTCCCTTACATCTATCTATGTTCTAAATCCCATCCGGTTTGGTTGAAAAACAAGGGAGTTATAGCCATTTCAAGTTTCAGCCAATCAGATTGCAGCACACGTGCATGCGGGTGATTTCATGATTTTTTTCTACACCATATTGTAGGATATCCTAATGCATGGCAATGTTTTAAATTTCAAAGAATTTCGTCAAAAAACAAAGGAGATATAGCCATTTAAAGTTTCAGCCAATCATATTGCAGCACGCGCACATGCGCATGCTTTCATTAAAATTTTTTATATCATGCTGTAGATCTTCATAATGTAGGACTCTGTTCAAAATTTCAAAGGATTATGACGAGAAACAAGAAAGATATTGAGACTTTAGTTTCAGCCAATCAGAGCAAAGCGAACGTGCATGCGCGTGAGATCTTGCTATTTCGACCATGCTATCTTGTCTATACTTCTAATGTATCCTTACATTATGAGTTTCAAAAAAATTCATTAAAAAATAGAAAAGTTACGGCAATATCCATTATATTAGTCATTTCACGTGTTGCACGTGCACGCTCTTGCAAGCACGTGCGCGCAAAATGACCTTGATTCCGCAAATCTACATAACATGTCTACTGACCCTAAAAAGGTTTTACCTACATCGGACGAACAGTTTACAAGATCACTCCCGGACAAAAAAGTACCCAGGAAGAAGAAGAAGAAGAAAAATAATAATAATAAGAAACAGAGTAAAAACAATATGTTCCCCAACTTCGTTTGGGGAACATAAATATAATACTAGTACACAAATGTATACTTTTTGTCGTAAGAATGAGATCTTTTTTGTAGTAAAACAAGTTCAATTTTTATTTTGGCAAGGATTTACTTTGAGATATGATAAGGAAAAAACTCATCATGTACTAGAAAGCCCTCAAAACAATTTTTGAAAATGTTGGACTTTTAAAATAAAAAAAAGATTATCTAAAATATATATGATCATGAAAATTTGATCAATACTAATTGTATATTTGATAATTATTATGACAATGTTAAGAATCCCCGCTTTCTAAGTGTATCTCTTCCTGTGACACTCCATTGACCTTGACCCTGTTGTTTGGGTCAGGGACAGTCACTATGTGGTCTTTGAGGGGTTGTTTGTTGGTTTCTGGGAGACATAACATCAGAAATCCACACAACAGTGCAAGGCCCCCAAACACAGCAAATGGAAGCACATCTAATGAACCTTTACTCTGAAAGAGTTTTATCACATTTCTACAATGGTTTTGATCTTTTATCACGAATTGAGCAAATCACACAGCATTATTTCATTTACAATCACTATCATTATGCACTGCAATTTGACAATGTTTATTACAGTGAAATATATTTTTGTCTTTTATGAATTTTAATTGAAATGCAATATCGGTAATTTAATTTCTGCAAGTTAATGAACCTTTTCTTTGCATATCCAAGCTTAAACAATTAACTGTCACAATGTTTTATCCCAAGTTTTGTTATTAATAGCCACTGTGTGTGAATATACAGTGTGTTCAGTACATTGAAAAATTCACTGCACTTTTTTATGCATAAAAAAGTGGATTTTTATACTCATTAAGTATTCAATTAATATGTTCGAGATATCAGGTGTTTTTTAAATCATATATAAAGAGAATACAACCGGGACCGGCGATCGACTTCGACATAAGCGGGGTATTCGAGATATCCTATGTTCGAGATACTGATATTTACCTGTAATTGAAAAATGAATTTTTTATGCATAGTGGATTTTTTATCATTAAGTTTCAATAATATTTTGTTTAAACAACAATTCCTGTTGTTTTATGCTGAACAATACTCACCAGTCGTACAAACTGTGGAGCGGCAATCCCTCCTATCCGGGCTGACATGGCACAGGCCCCTATACCAATATTCCTGAAATCACAACATCAACTGTCACTTAAGCCCAAATAGCATTCTGTCCCATTGCCCATTATCATTTCTTTCAAAATTTGTATTCTTTAATAAGTGATGATGTTTCTACCCTAAACAGCCCATGATTATAGTTTTACTATCCTGAAGAAAATACAATGATTTCAATTTATGGTAAACCTCTTGTGTTCTCCTAATTTTAACCCCTCCTTAGATGCCATACTCAGAAAAAAATATCAGTTTGACTTCACATTTAAACTTTATTACTGCCCAAAATGCATGTTTGTTGATACATTTTACATATACTGTGTACAACCTATCTAGCTAATGCTTGGACCATTTGAATGACATCTAAAGTGAAACAATTTACCTGTCACCCTGCACCCTGATGGAGCATATGACATACTCTCAACCAATCAGATTGTCTGTATTATTCTGTATAAAGACAACATGTAGAAACACCCCTCCCCCGCCTACTGACCTAATCACTGTTGGGAAGGTCTCGGCAGAAAACACCTGAGTGGCCGCCCATCCACCAGATATAGCGGACTTCCCAATCATCGCAACAACAATTATAGGGACAATCTGAGATTCATCTACAACAACAAATGAAAGACCATTTTACTACTGTAAAATCAGACATGAGCTTTTCATGCAGTTATGCTTTAATTCAATTTTGGGGATAGAAACATGAAATCACATTTCTTGCCCAGGAGTTTGCTTTGAATAAAATGATTATTACAGAAGTTTTATTAAAATCCATATGAGAGCATGTGGGGATCCGGGAATTTTTTTTTTTCAAGCCACTTTCCATTACTTCAAAAGATTCATAACTTAGGATGGGTCCATGTTTGCTAGGGATAGGGTTTCCAAGGTCATTTTTTGGTCATTTTACCATGCACATTTAGTAATTCCTTGAATTCAAGGAGGATGTTTGAACCTAAATCCCCAATCAAATTTCTCTAGATCTGTCCATGGGTATTTAATTCTGTGTACCTATCCAACATTTAACACCCACCCCCCCAATAAATACATAATTTGCATATCGATAGCTTTGCAAACATTTGTTTTTTATGTATCTTACCTATTAATGAAATGACTAGAACAGCTATACATGAGATTCCTGCCAATAACATCAGAGACAGGGTGATTTTCCTCCTTCCAAATCGATTGTTAAATGCCACTACAAAAACTAAGGCTGGAATTTCTACTAGGCCTGAAATGAACACATTCAGGTGTAGATTCCCTGCTAAGTTGCTCGTGTTGAAGTTTAACCCATAATACACTGAGCTTGAAACAAACCTGAACAAAATGAAGGTAAGAAAAGGTACAGTGTAATTAAAATGTTACATGACAAGCATTAAATACATGTATTTATATTCATGTTATTTTAATTAGTGAAGGATTTTTTTGATTGATCACTGTTGAATATTGACAGTTTGTAAGAAAACGAATGTACCACAAACTTACCAGCCATACATGACTATGAGAGAATTTTTGGACATCCTCCAAGTCCTAAATAAATGCCAGTAACTGAAGTTTTTATATCTTTTCTCAGGTTGACTTCTGACCTACAAATACCATTTTTTTTTTCAATCAAAGAATAACCAATTAAATGGTCGCATTAAATTGCCTTTACATAAATGACTATCAGACTTACACAAGCATACAATACCTCAGACTCCATTTCTAATGTAGACAGGTCTGGTAAACTAATTCCATTATATTCTGCCATCTTTTTCAAAACAGCCTCTGCTTCATAGAATCTTCCTTTGCTCAGCAGCCATCTTGGACTTTCTGGTACAAACCTGAATGAAAGATAAAAACTAGTTTCCAACATGTATCACAATGTATATATTTTAAAATCATAAAAAATTCCTTGATTATTTGAATAGATAGAATAATGCAAACAAGTTTACATATTCATTAAAGAGCTTGTAAATAGTCTTGAGAAAAATATTAAAATAACAATAAGTTGAGAAAATATTAAAATAGCAATTACGAAGCAAATACAGAGGAGGGATAAAATCATTTATGTTTCTTGATTATTCTTACCACCATGAAAAAAGCATGAATACACCTGCAACTGAGGTACTTATAATGAGGTATCTCCAGTTGGTAATGAAGTACCCCCAGATTGCCAGGGTCATCAAGCCGACGGCCCAGAACCCCACACACCCACAGAATGTCCTCCAATCAGGGGTCACAAACTCTAGAGGCAGCACAAAATTCACCACCATCACACCTACAAAGAATGACTTAAAACTGTTTTTATTCTGATGCATAGGACATAATGTGAAGAATGGGTAATTTTGAGCCCCTTAAATGATGCAACAATATTTATCTATCAATATTAAAGTTTTCTACTAAATACTTACTTCCCACAAGTCCACCAATGAAAAACCTAAAGGCAGCGAATAACTGCCATGAATTAGCAAATGCACTGCCTAGAGAAAAGACCAGTAGCAGTGAATAGGCAATATACAGAAGCTTTCTGCGACCAAAGATGTCAGCCAGTTGTCCCATAAGGAGAGCTCCGACAAGCAGGCCACACATCTGGATCGTGGTGATGATACTGGGGATTTTCATCCTGTCACACACCAGTGACCACTGAAAGTATAGACACCATCATTTTAGTAACAGGCAGTTTTTGTCCCGTGTCTGGCATTAATTTTTGCATCTTAGTATCTAAAAAATGATGTAAGCAAAAACAAGACCAAAAAAAGCTTTAACATAAAAACAAGAAAAAAATTGCTACAGGATACTAAATTCTCCCACCAACCTAATTGGAGAAATATTGTTAAAATCATTTCTAATGATTTGCCATTTCTTGCTTCAATACTTTTTAAATTAGATAAAATATAGCTATAATCTGGATTTCATTCTCATGTACCATATATACTCGCTTATAAGTCGGTTTTTTTGGGAGTTGAATTTTGGTCAAAACTCATTATCCGACTTATAGGCAGGTCATAGAATGATTGGTATTTTTTCTGGACAACGATAGGTAGTTTTATAAAATTATGCATAAAGTATAAGTATTCATGAATTTTTTATAGCTTTATATTAATCTTCAGTGTGCTTTACTTATTTTTTAATGATTATGAACTTCATTTTTAAAAAATATTAATTGAAACTTCGCTAAAACATCACAACATTGAGTATAAATTGTCAACTGATTCTGGAAAAAGGTGGACCGACTTATAAGCGGGTATACCGCAAATCCCTCCAAAATATCTGCAAAAATCAAAAACGACTGATATGCAGACCGAATTATATGTGAGTTTATATAGTACTCCTAACATATACATTGTATTGTGTCTGCAATTTCAAAGAAATGAAAAATCTTTTATTCTCAAAAATAATTTACTCCTTAAATCAAAATTAATTCTGCAAAGCTTAAAATTTTCTTATTATTTAAAGAAATCCGGCAATGATTATTTTTTTCTCATTTCTGAAACTTGTTAAAAAGCTGATAAAATTGGAATGAGAGATGTGACTGTGAGAAAATACAAACATAGATAACCAAAAATTATAGAGCTCACCTCCATGTATAAGTGCGGGAAAGTCCCACACTAAAACTAATTTACTAGTGTGCATCCCTAAATGCAAAATTTATGCAATTTTAGTCCTGGTACGCCTTTGCATTTACTTGGGAATGAACTTTTCCTCAAAACTTAAACTGGTCAACATCTAGAAAATGCAAGTCAGGTCTAGCATACAATGCAAGTCTATTCGTGTACATCCCTTGATGCATCACCCATGTGTAGTATGTTTGATCCTACAGAAAGCTTTAATCTGGTCAATCATCTGGAAAGCAAACTTAACATCTTTACATCCAGACTTGGAAAAGTCTAGTAGAGTGCATCCCCAGATGCATCATGCATGCAAGTTTGCTTTAAATTTAACTGCAATGAACCTGCTCCACAACCTTTAAATTGGTCACTCATCAAAAAATTTAGGTCAAATCCAGCATCCAAAGAAAGTCTGATAGTATGCATCTATAGATGCAAAATCCATGCAAGCAAGTTTGGTCTAGACAGGGCTTACTATTTAAATGGAAAGATTCTGATCCAAAATGTTATCCTGGTCACTCATCCAGAAAATATAGGTCGATCAAATCCATCATCTGTAGAAAGTCTGAGAGTATTCATCCCTTGATGCATCATTCTTGTAAGTTTGGTCTAGGAACAGCTTGAAGATACATTGGAATGAACCTGTTCTAAAAACTTTAACTTGGTAACTCATTCAGAAAATATAGGTCAAGTCCAGCAGCTGAAGCAAGTCTGGTGGTGTACATCATTAGATGTATCACCAATGCAAGTCTAATCAACACAGGACTTATATTTAGAATGAACCTGCTTCCAAAACTTAAACCTCCTCTGAAAATATTAACTAAATGGTCATTCTTTGGCTGAAAATGTAGCATCTGATACCTAGACTGGTGAAGTGAAACATTACAAAAAGTAAAAGCATCATGCATGCATTACTGATCAATATATGCTCAGAACTTTAACAGAAATCTGGCTGGTCAAAAAGCCTTAACCTTGGATGCAAGTGCTGAAGCCAAGGGTATTACATAAGGTCCTGTTAAGGTGAGCTAAATAACCAAATGATTAGACATATTACCTCATTATTTTCATGGAAGATCACTTAACAAGTTCAAATTTACATACCCAGTAATTGTTAGAAAGCTTATTTTTGCAGATCTATAGCTAATTATTCCAGAGATGATATCAGTTAATACAATTTATACCTACTAGTAAAGTGTACCCCAATGTACATCATATATGTACCTAAATCATAAATATGTAAAATCACAAATTATCAACTTTAACATTTATTTCATAATTAAGCGTTTTTCGAGTTCAAATACTGTACACTTAATTTTTTCTATGGAGCATATTTTCTACATTTTCAACATGGTTCACTTCAATTGTTCATATCCATTCGGAAGTAGTTTTGTTTGTGCATGTCTGCAAATGTTATTAAAGGGGTCTATTCTAAGAAATCACAATTTCTGTTTTATCTATGCAAGAAATATAACATTAAGCAGATTTTTTTTTTTTTGAATTGCCATAAATTTATTCTTTACATGCACTTTTAAGTATATATATGCTATGGAATTTTTTTGCAGATAATATGTGACTATGTATATAATGTAAATTAATTAAATATGGGAAAATGTATGTCAATGAATCTACAAACTGTGTACAACAAAATGTGCTGTTGTAACGTCTTGCTGTGCAGTTAGCCTGCAACACCCCTTACCTCACTGACAATGGAATGGATTTCTCCAGAAAACACAGCTCCAGCACAAAGAGTGTCACTTTCTGAGCACTGTTCTGCTGATATTGAAACATTTTTTCCCCGTGATGAATTGTACATTAGAGTGACAGTAGCATCACTGAGTTCTGGACAATTCCACTCTGGTACAACATTCAGAAAAATCGGGAGAAGCATTGCCCAGGCTGCAGGGGTCTCAAACATGCTAACCAGTATAAATACACGCCTCTGGTAGGCTCCAAAGGACCCAAGCTGTCTTAGAACATTTTCAAATTCTGACATCCTGAAAGGCACTCACTCTGTGCTTTAATCCACCAGTCTTAGATAGTTCTTATCACACTAGCTGGAATGCATTTCTCTTAAATAAAAGGTAATCTCAGGTCACTTTTTTTTAAATCATGACACTTTATGTATCCATGTCTGGTTTATTTGGAATATCATTCCACTGTTCAAAACAATGGTTAGTTCTTCTTGACTGTACTTTAACCTACGAATAAAGTTTTATATGTATATTACAATACATCAACACTGCTGTATGTTTGTTAAAAAGCCCTTTATAAATAATATGTTAGTATATTTTATCTTTACAGCAAATAAACATGTCATGAAAAATGACAGAAATTTTATAAACACTAACAGCTAGTACATGTATACATATTTTAGAGTTATACCAGTCGGCAGTACACAAGGTGCATTTACAGTTTCAATTAATGGACCACTAAAGCCAGAATTGTGTGTTTAATTCCTGTAAAGGTACTTTAGTTTGGTGCAACTGTAATTCTGAAATGCAGAACATTTATGGCTGGGCTGGAGATTGATCCCCTGACCCCTGGATTACTAGCCAGGTGCTCTAACCACTGCTTTGTGCTGCTACCCATTAGAGCATTTAGTCCAAAGCCCTACATTACTCCCACCTTGAACTTCTTTCAGCCTCAAAGACACAGATTCTTTAGCCCTGGCAGGTAAATTCACCTGAGTAAGTCAGGGGTGAACAAGGGCACCAAATGCAACAGAAAAATGGAAAAAAAAATTAGAGCTGGACTATAACAGAATTTGGGACCCCTGCATTACTCATGTCAGGTGCTCCAAAAGTCAAGCAGTGAGCCCAACACCTATAGTCCATACTACACAAACAACCATATTCTCAAGTCTTATGTACAAAGCACTAAATGTAACAGGAAGATTGATTGTAAATTGTTTAAAGTCCCTCTGAGTATTGATAATTTTCCACTCATATGGAGACGCCACCACTTGCCAGTGGAGAGCTGCAAATTTTTTCCTATACTCTGCACTCAGGGCTATTCAGGGATATCTTTTTCGTGCCAGCGCCTACTGCGACACGGGACCTTGGTTTATACTGTCTCATCCTAAAGACCTGTCTCCTCATCCCACAGTGGGATTCGAACCCTCGACGTAAGGATCAACTCCGTACTTCATGACTCTAGAGCAGATGTTCTAACCACTGCGTCACGAGGGTGACTGTAACGGGAAGAGGAATAATTATGGCTGAACAAGAAATTTAATATATTTTATTACAGGTAGTCAAGTGCTCTAATCACTGACCTATCTGGGTCAATGACAATGGTCAAATCCAAAACTACCAAAAAAATTTAATCACTAATCAATAAACTGTATTAAGTGTGGTATATTTTGCCCTTTAACAATTGCAAATAATTTTGGCCCGTTCTAAATTTTTCATGATATCATAGTTCTGTTTAAGAAAAATCCAGTATTCAAGTTTTTTTAAATTTGCCCCATTTTAAAATTTGGCTCCTTTGAAAATATATAAAGGGGTGAAAATAAAACTTCCATTTTAATATCGTAAAAACATAATCAACTTTATTCACAGGGGATTAAATCTATTTTATTATTTCATTCTTAACAATTATCAACAATTTTTTTTTTATTTTTACTATTAAATGAATAGGGTTACTTTTAATACAACATAACTTCATGCCCTCAAAACCTAGCTTTTTGCTGAAAAATTTACAAAATTTTATATCCACAAAAATGTGTGCTTCAGATCTACAGTAGTATCTTTATCTCAAATCTATGATGATTCATGCAGTTGTAGCAAAATTATTTCAATCAAATAATCACCAATGTAACACGTACAGTATAATTTTTTGTAGGCAATATATGTTACGCCTATTACAATAAACCAGCTTTTATCTTTTAATAGATAGGGGTTTTCTGTTCAAAAATATAAGAATTATATTGGACAGGGTAAAAACTTAAAACAATAGCTACAGTTTGGCGCTTAGACAAATAGTAAACGAGTTATTATACCAATTAAATTGATAAATAAAATAAAAATTAACTGACAAGCAAGGCCAAAAATAAAAAAAGCAATCGGGTTCGACATTCATATTTTGCTAAGCACATGTTAGAAAACATATGAAATTACGACTCAAAATTACACAAATTATTCCTCAAAACATTACATTAAACCATTCTCCACCACACCTTAAATTGAAATGAAACATATCCTCATATCTTTGTGCGACTTATATAAGTAACATTTGTGAAGAGTGGTGCAATATCCCGGACGTGTCGCAATCGGCAAGATTTGCATATTCCGTCTCGTTCAACATGACACTCGGCTGTCTCCGTAAATCTCCCACTAACCAAGTTTTATCAATCGGTAGCCTGGTTCCCTGTCCCTGTTTTGCTTCATATATACTCCGCGTCACTTGGCAAGGTTGAGACAGGGGACCAGGCTATATCAATCGGCAATCCTCGGCTACCTCCCCTACGCTTCATTATGTGAGAGGTACGAGCCACCCGAGGAGCTCCGAGTGAGTTTTGCGCCACCCGAGAATCTCCGAGTGGAATAATGACGGAATAAACCGGAGTTTTGCCACTCGGCACACCTCGGCCGATTCGTACCTCATCTAGTTCACGGAATCAGCCGAGTTTTGCTCGGTCATTCGGCAATCTCCGGTCTGTTCCGTAACACTTGTGCTCGAGCCCGATTGAAAAAATCGCACTGGACTTTGATCGATTCTGAGGTATTTTAATGCAGTTCGGAATTCAATCTGCCTTGACATCTAAAAAAAAAATAATAAATGAAAGTACAGTATGTTACCCAATATGTAACCAATTAAAACATTCTTAACATATAAATGAACCTAGATGAATTAATTTGCATCAGAGACATAAATAACAAAACATAGTGTTGAAAGATTTTCCTATTATTGCAAAACACCATAAATCACTTCTAATTTCATATCATATCTTTGGTTAAATTAAAAGAACCTTAATTTCATTAAATATGTAATTTTAAAATACTTTAATAGGGTAAAAATTTCAAACTTTTCATATTAGCCCTTTCTGAGAACTTCAAAGAACCTTGAAGCACATTGAGAGGTATAAAATGAAAATTGTTGCATGAAAAGATCCAATTTTCGAGCTTAATTTCGAGACCTTTTAAATCTAATTATAAATTAAAGAGTTATCCTTCCTGACTGAAGATCGAAATGCCTTTTAAAAGATTTTTTTCATTCACATGGCATAAAAAAAAAAAAACATTAAAAAAAAGAAATTTCATATTATTTTATTGAACTGAAACATCAATGCACATTTTATAACAATGATACATTAAAAATATCACAACTGTTGGAATATTTCATTTGAAGAATCAAGACATTATGGTTGAGAATGGGGATTCATTAATTTCATGGACGCTGGCACTGTCTGCTTAATGATAAATTTATCTGGAGACACGACTAAGTCCTTAGATCTCTGTATATATACTGGTGGTTTCTTATCTACGACAGTTTCTTTGGTGATTATTATTTCCTCTATGTCAGAATCAGGTGTTTCATACATTGGTTCCAATAGAATACTCTCCTGCAAAATAAAAAAAAATGTTTAATTTCCCATGAAAAATACAAACGTATTATCTATGTAATGCATTTAAAAAATAGTTGATACTGCAAAGAATATGTGAAAAGTAAAAATATCCAATAAAATCTGTATGCAATATGCACCTTTGTCACACTATTACAGAAAACTACACGGTATGCATTATTTTTATGAATTCTTCATTGTTTTTATACAAAAAAAGTTCTAAATAAGCAATACACATCAATGCATGTAATACACTGTAATTTATGAAAATGATTGATTTCGGTGAAATATAAAACTTGTTACCAGTCTGCTCCTGAGGGCTCGGGCACCTGTCCCTGAAGCTTTAGCTTTCTCTGCAATGGCCACCAAGGCTTCCTCCTCAAACTTCAACTTTGCCTACAGTAATAAATACAAACTGGGGTCATAAATACATCAGTATAAAATATTTAAATATTTATTACTTGTAAAAATATTTGTCTTAATTTTAATGAAACCTACCCCATCCATTTCAAGGAGAGTTTCATACTGAGGAATTAATGCATTTTTGGGTTCTTTAAGGATCTGTATCAGCATTTCAGTGGTCATGTTTTCAAACACAGCGAACACTGGTATTCTGCCAATGAACTCTGGAATCATGCCAAAGTTAACAAGATCATCCACTTCCACGGCACGGAGTATCTCGTCCTTCTTCTGATCCGTGTCATCAGTGTTGTGGGTGGTCTCTAGAACATTGCTGTCATCTTTTTGAGGGTCGGATGTAAATCCAAAGGGCTAAAAAATAAAATTCAACTGTTTAAAAAGTTAACATTAAAAGTAAATGAACACACACATCTGATGTTTTCATTTTTTTAATACACTGAATATAATTCCAGCAGTTTTCAAATTAATGCAGGATCTACACAATAATGAAGTAATTTTCTCTGTATTTACCTTGATGTTAGCTCTCTTCTGAATGATGTTGGTGAGACCACTAAATGCACCAGAGAAGATGAACAGGATGTTGGTTGTATCCACATCAATAGTTTTTTTCCCACTACCACTCAAGTCAGGAACCTTAATAACTGCTCCCTCCATCATCTTAAGTAGACTTTGCTGGACCCCCTCCCCTCCCACATCTCGCTGAAACTGACCACCTTTCTTGGAGCTGATTTTGTCTACCTCATCCAAAAATACTATACCTACAATGTAAACTAGAACTGTCCAATAGGGACAAATACCCCCCGCTGGGTTTTTCAGAGAAGGTGCCAATTCAAAAATACTTTATGGATCTAGAGGTGTTCGCAATTTACTTACAAAAATTTGCAGTGAAATATAATTGCTCATTATGTTTCTTAATGAATGAAACAAAGGTGCAACCAAATGAAACATCAATACTAATACATTGTAATTCCATTGTAACATTATTTTTTTTATTTAATTTTTTTATTTCTGCATTAAAAAAATATATTGCAATTATGTGTTATGTCACTCTGCAAACTGATTGTTGAAAAAAAATCATATTATACAAAATCAAATTAATCTTGATAACTTTATATCAAATTAAATTGAAAATAAAGAGCTGGTCATCCAGTAATGAAGTGCTTTGACAGACAATAAATTACAATTAAGAGAATAAGAGAAGAGAAATCTTTAATTCTTGTGACTGATTCCCAGGAGATTACACATGGTTGATAATAAGATGCCTTAATGTTCAACTTCCCACACCAAACTCATTAATTTATCTTTAACTGGATGCATGTCCAGTCATTATTCCCAAGAGATAAATAAAATTACATTATCTTCTGTGCAATGTAAAAAACTGTTTTTAACACTTGATGATGTTTCTTTTTTTAAAGTTTATATGAGTAGTTTTAAGCTGTAGTATTTTTGTACAGATATTCTAGATTCTATGTCTCAATTTTAAACCTTATACATGAGCCCAAAATGAACAAGTCAATTAAAATAAAAAATAAAACCTGTAAAATGCAAAAAAAATGAACAAAAAGAGTTGAAAATTCCAATTGCACACCTTCATATGGTGAATAAGTGTACAAATTTTCAGATCAATCCTTGCAATAGTTTCTGAGAAACTGTCCGGATAAAACCACAACATAAAAATGAAAAAACACCTGTAAAATTCAAAATAATAACCGAATCAAGATGAAAATATCAGGTGCACAACTTCATATGGTGAATAATATTTGTACAAATTTTCAGACAAATCCTTCCAATAGTTTCTGAGTAATGGTCCGGACAAAATCTCGTCTACAGACAGACAGACAGACAGACAGACGGACAGACGGACATGATGATTCCAATATACCCCCCCTAAACTTCGTTTGCGGGGGGTATAATTATTAATTATATTTGTGGACATTCAGTGTACTATATTAGTTAGTAAACAAAATGATTCTTTGTAAAAACATGTTTCTAGTAATGAAATATTATCATTTGGTTCTTTGGATATTTATAATTAATCAAAATTCAAATGAGGTGAATCAAGAAATTTTTTATTGTGTTCATGGCCTCTCTGAGTCATTTTGTCTTGCAGACATTAACTACATTTGTTCTGTACACATTTTAAAACTCAAGGCTATCACAAAGCTATATTTGGTGGTTCCTGAAAGAGGAGTAACCAGAACAAATGAGAAATGAAAAATATCCCTCTGTTCTACACTGATGAAAAATAACTTCATCTCTTCCCGGATTGTAATAAAATTTAAAGAAAATTTGTAGTTCTCTAGTTAAACATTTTTATTGAAAAAAGAAAATTAAATGATGATGAAAAGATCACTTGCTCCGTTTTTAAGATGAGCCAAGTAAATGTAATATACCTTGTTGACATTTTTCCACATTGAACTTTGCATTCTGTAGGAGACGTCCCACTACGTTCTCTACATCTTCCCCCACGTAGCCAGCCTGGGTCAGACTCGTACAATCACAGATCACTATTGGCACATTCAAAATTTCAGACAAAACTTGAGCAATGTATGTTTTACCTATAAATGTAAACAAAATAAAATGACAACAAAATCTTTATTAAGTCTTGGGTGTGATTTTTTTTTTGACCAAATAAGTTTCAGATATGGAAGAATAAACAAAATTTAGAGCTGCATTAATAGAATTGATAATTATTGCATCATCAATTCAAATCGCCATATAATATACTGACTGATGCATATGTATATACTTGTGACATACTCTTTTTTTTAAAGCTCATTTTCAATCAAAGTAAAAAGAATACAATAATAAAATACCATAATACAAATGAGTATATGTGTGGTATCTATTTGTAATTGTTAATTCTGTTCCCCAAACATTTTTTCTGGAAAATGAAATTTCAGTATATGTGAAGTTTTCAGATTATTGGAGTCCAGATTTACAAGACACCACTCATTGATATAAAATGTTTCCAGCTCTAATTTAAGTATACATCATTTCCTAAGTTCTGACCTGTTCCTGTTGGTCCCAGCATCAGAATGTTAGTTTTGTCTATCTGTATATCAGAACTCTCCTTTTGCTTGACTACAGGAGTTACGGGGATTGAATCGGACCTTGCTCTAAGACCCTCACTTGCTACAGCCGCGCGGATGTCCAGGCCAAGACCATGAGAATGGGGTTTCCTTTGTTTCTCATACACTAACACATCTTGTAGGAAAAAAGTTTACTTTTAAGTTCATGTAAGCAAGAACGATATAAGATTAATTATCATTTAATAGATACAGTAGAATATTTTTATTCAAGAGAGCTATGTCTGAGTGTAGATACTTTCAGTAATTTTTTGGTTAACTCCAAAGACTTGATCTTAGGATGTTGTATTATCTTACACTATCTGTGTTTACTTTTAAGGACATATGCAATGTACCTTACCTACTGATAACTTTTTAAGATATTCTAAATTCAAGATTAAAGTGCCATTGGATGTTCGTAGACAACAAATCAGCATGCATTACCAGGGGTTTTGAAAAGATATCAATTGATGAAATTTTTTGTATAATTCAAAGAAAAATGTACAAAAATTACTAAAAAATATATTCTGGGTGTTTTGTTTATCCAAATTTGATTAAAAAGATGTGTACAATTGCATATGTAGACAATAAAATCTAGTACACAGTTTCTTCAAGTATTGGAACTCTTCAACGCCAGGGAAAAATGCAATAAAGTTCAAACTACATTGCGTATGTCCTTAAACAAAAGATCAAGGGAGATAAAAGTTGTAATATAACAACAAACATTATGTCACAGGTTCATGTTTTTTTAATGCTGCACCACACACCTTGTCTCTCTCTTTCCTCTGCCCATTTTTGTTTCTGTATTTTGGCTTTGTGTTGGTTTATCCTTTTATAATGATTATAAACAGCCACTGCTAACACTTTCTTGGCATGATCTTGTCCAATTATGTACTGATTTAATTTATTCACTATCTGAAATAGTTATTGAGAAATATAGCTATTTTAAAACCATCTTTAAAAATTTGTTTGGTTGCCCTCTCCCAACCAGCTGAGTAAAATTGTCTTGACTCACAACTTTTTTAATCTCCAGGGAAAAAAAAAATATTGATTCCAGAAAAATAGATTTTGAAAATTCAGCATTGATTTGAAAATTTGATGTGAAAGAAAATTCCAACCTACCTAGTCCTACCAACCCAATTTTTTAAACCTGAGTTGGGAGAGGGCAGACAAACATTATTTTAAAGTTGACCTAATATAAATTTTATGATAAGTGTCATATAATTATTTTTTGTTGATATGTACAATAAAGTTTTCTAATGTTGAATCCCCGAAATTTAAATACTTGCAATATTTATGATTGTAAGTCATCAAAAATACTTGGAAGGAGAAATGTTAAAACATTTCTACAGTAAAACACACTTTATAGAAATAACACTTATAATGAATTCATATTGACAGTGGTGTTATTTCAATATTGTATGTGGTTTTAAACATAATATTTACATCCGCTGAATATTTTCTCCTTTATTTCTTAAGAAAACCCATTGCGTTAATCACTGCATGAACTACAGTCGGCATGTTGCCTGTACAGATTTCTTGATCAGTGGCTGTTCCATCAATGAAACGTATAAAGACGTTCGCATCATTAATACAACAATTAATCTTTTTAATCCTACTTTAAATGATTATTTAAACAGATATAAATATAAACAATAAAATGTCTTTCTTTGTTTGTTATTACTGGAATTAACGGTTGCAGCTATTGCAAAAAAAATTTACATAACCCGCTTACGTTAATTCCAGTAATAACAAACAAAGAAAGCATTTTATTGTTTAAATAACATATTGTAACTGGTATTACAAATATGTTTGTAAAGGATCAAAATTGCAAGTTCTTGGCACTTTGCTATAAAAGTGTGTTAGGCCTTACTGTTCTAAATATATTGGCAAAATGATTCTATTTTGTTACATTATTTGTTTCTTTAAAGCATGGACAATTGTACAGTTTATTGCTATTATTAAAAATTGTTAAAAAGGACATTGTTCATGCAATCAAAATGTAATATACTAGTAGTATTAGTATTGGCTACTAATGATGCTTTCAGAAAAGTCAATCCCACATTAAATAATGAACCTTCAACAAGTTCAAAGGAAATTTTAAAAAGGACTGGTAGAATTTTCAAGAAATATTTCCATGCATACTCAATATATATACCTCTGCTGGTTCCATCAACTTATCCTTTGGAAAGTCTTGTTTTGAAGAGGAAAATAAAACCTCATTACAATTTTCACATTTAACACTTGTTACTGAAAGAAGAAAAAATAAACACAACAGTTCTTCTTGTTTTTATCTGCATGTTTCATAACAAGCTGTATCATAATGATGTAACTTTCATTTAACTTTAAAATTTGACAAATCTTACTTACATACAGTAGTGTCCTTGTGAAACATTGTGTAGCCACAATGGGGACACATTGTGTGTCCCTTTGAGCCAGATCCTCCCTTTTTATTACCACCCCCTGCACTGCCATAATAAGTGTATGTTTTCCGCCGACCAGAAATTGCACTGGTGGAAAAAGGAAAGGTCCTGCCTTTATGATGGGAGCAAATGGCTGGAGATCTCCCAGAAGCTTCAACATAATATTGTACATTTTAATGTTACAAGTTCTAATTATTCTCTTTAGAGAGGTGGACAGGCTTTGCCTACATCCACTTCTCTTCGCAAGCCTTCATGTTGTTATTCTGAAAAACATGTGAAAAGTAGGACTGGTGACAGCTTACACTAACAGACTAACATTTCGTCTGAAATATGTCTGATTTTATGTGACAGATGTGTTAAATTAACAATTACAACATAAATACATACAACTGTCACAAGAAAACCAACCTTTACGTGTTGTTAATGTATTTTTACAAGTTCTCCATCCGGGATTTAAATCTTGAGCAAATAATTCTAGAAGGACACTCGGAGCTCCTCAGGTGGCTTGTGACTCGCACACTGAATGGAGTGTAGCAGAGTCAGCAGAGGATTGCTGATTGTGGTAGAAAAGCATTAGTTGGAATCCGGGAATGAGAACTTGTGTAAATATTGGTAAAAGATATGTATTAAAGGTTGGTTTTCTTTTGAAAGTTGAGTTTATTTATGTTAAAATTGTAAATAAAACACATCTGTTAAATATAAACAGACGATATTTTAGACAAAATGTTAGTTGAAGTGTAGGTCGTCACCGGTTCGACATTTTACACGTTTTCCAGAATCAAAACATGAAGGCCTGCGAAGAGAAGTGGATGTAGGCAAAAGCCTGTCCACTTCTCTAAAGAGAATAAAGTTCTAATATGACCATTATTTAAACAATTTATTTCATAAATTAAATTTAAATAATTTGATATAACAATCGTTCGAAAGAATAATGCACATCTTTAGCTGAAATATGGCAGGAAATGGTCCTACCTTTTACCCGGTATGTTCCTAATTGATGAATTCCTGCAACAGAACGCCGAGATATACGAAGACAAAACCTGTTTAAAGCGACTGAAGCCATCGTAAGAAACCGTATGATCTTTTTAAAAGGAAAAAAAAATACAGATATCGGTATCTAAAAATGCATTATTGATTTCATAAATGGATAACGGCTTGCAGCTGTTGTAAACTTAGGCAATGTCAAGGTCATTAATTGTAGGGGTGTGTTATTATAATACATTTCAAACGTATACATGATATTTATATTTATTCATTTATTTTGAAACACGATGAATTTTTAAATGGAAAAAAAATGTTTTTTCTCAAAAAATATTTTCTTTCACTTGTAAGTTGACATGAACAAGTTGAATAGATTCATTTACATAATTAGATCTCCCTAGACACAAAGTGAAAGTAGGAAATTGAGCCCGATGTATATTAGACACTCATGGCCATGCTACATGTATATAGTTTATTAAGGTTTATGTGGATTCCGATTTGTATCTAAGTGTTAGATATTTGTTAAATAAAATTTTCCTGGTGTTTGGGTTGGAATCCTTTCGACATTGGTAGGTATAGGACTTATCTTATAATCTACAGCTCACTTTCATATCACTGTTCATATGGTGAAATCACGTGTAATACCTAGTTCTAATAAACCAAGGACAAGTAAGTGTACATGTAGGTATTAACCAATGACTGTTTATAGTAGGTATTTTTAAATTTTTTATGGAAATATTGGAAAGTGACTTATCTTGTTATTTTATGGAGAAATCTTAAATTGCTCTTGATGTAAACTATCTTGTTGACCATAGCTGACCTCCTTTAGAATTTCATTCAAGAAGTAACTGTATGGTCACAAATTTAAGGCTATATATAGCCCTAAATTTTTTTAAAGAAAAATTTTAGTCTAAAGTCTCTCAAGGAGGCACAATTTGGTAAGTGATTTTTACATGTGTAACGGGATTAGAGGTGAAAAAGATTGGATTCGAACTCAGGGCTGAGGCCCCTTGAATCTCCAGTCAGATACTTTATCTACTGAGCTATCTGGCCAGCAGGGATGGCACTCATCTGACCATCACACATTTCTCCCTCTTCCCAGGCAGGCCTCTCACCTGTCACTTCCAGGGCATGGCATGGCACCAACTGGGGATAGGAGAAAAATGCAGTGGGCCAGACCAGGATTTGAACCAGGGCCTCATGAATCTCCAATCAGGTGCTTTACGAACTGAGTTATCTGGCCACTGACAATAGAACACATCTGACTGCCACACATGCATTGTTTTCAAAAAGAGTTATAAGTTCAATATTATTATCACTGCACCAAGGTGCAATGTTTTGTACATGCTGAAAAAATAATACTGTGTATGTTTAAGAAAAAAGTGTGATAAAATAGCTAAATCAAGCCACTCTGAATAGCTTAATAAAGCTGTATAGCAAAATAAATCAAGAGATTGTGCCAGACCAATTGTATTCATATCAGTCTCTTTAATACTCTAATAGGAGAGGAGAAAGATGCAGTAGACCAGACCAAGGTTCAAACCAAGTCTTGAATAGAAAATCTACACTGGAGATGCAATTTGATGCATGATTTTTTTTATGCATTGTTATCAGATATTCAGAACAGTATAAAGTTTAAAACTTTCACAGCAGCTAATTTTGACTTTCTTAGTTGCTGAAAAATTGCACAGCATGATTTAAGAAAAAGTTTGATTGTTAAATCAGGCTTTTCTGATCGAAAAGCTTAGTTAAGCTTTATAGCTAATTCAAGAGATTAAGCCTGACCTGTAGAAGTCACTATTTTTATATGTGTAAATAACTTACAACTTTGATAATGGTAACACTACTTAAGTTAATTGTTTAATCATTGTTAAAAGTGAAATATTTCTTTCAGATGGCTGGTAGAGGAAGAGGCAGAGGAAAAAATGTTTCTTTCAATGTAGAAGCTTTAGGATTTGGGAGAGGGGAAGCCCTACCAGGCCCCATCTCTCAGCCACCACCACTGTTTCCAGTAATACAATTTTCATTTTTTAAATTTTTTTCTTACATAGATCTATCATCATGAATTCATGATCATGTCTGTATTTGTTTCTAATATTTATCAAAATGGAAGATAACATGTAAAAGTTAATTAAATTGTGAACAAAATGATTGAGATGGAAATAGTCTCAAAGTATACATGTACAATTGATAGTGCCCATAATGTGTACTGATCCTTTTTATAATAATAGATGTATAGTTTTACAAAAGATGATCCTTAAAAATGCTTCTTATTACATTAGACTGCTGAGTTCAAGCCAATTCCATTTGAACAAAGTGAAGAGTTTGACTATATGTTGGCTTTGAAGCAGGAGTTTCTCGGAAACATTCGCAAATCTCCATTTTACCTTCAAGCAGCAAACAAGAAGAAGGATATTGAGAGGTACTCGGATAAATACCAGGTTATAACAGAAGTCAATGGAAAATGGAAGCCAGGTATCAACAATAGGTTTTATTGAACAAATAAGAAAGCATATTGGTCTGCATATTAATTTTGACATTGTATTCTATTAATATTTAGCCACAAAGAAAACTGGAAAACAAAATTTCAGGAATTTATGAAACAATTGAACTAAGATTTACTCTTCTGAAGGAACAGATATTTGACTGTAAAATTTGAATGTGTACTGATTTGGACAAATTCACAATTTTCAGATTGGAGAAGACTTCCAGCTGAACTAAAACCAAAATTGCCAAGGAAAACAAAGCTCAAAATTAAACCAACAGTAAAGGTGAAATCAAAGTCCAAACCCAGCACAGTAGATGTATCCAAGACATTAGAGGTAAGCAAGAATGATGCATGCATAAGGAATTAAATATCTGATACAGATATATTACTCACATGACAGAGTTATGTATTAACTGTGACTTACACAAGGTCACTGTTGCATGAGAATTACCCTTATTTTCATTGAGTCATCTGAGCCACTCAGGTTACCTATTGTTTCTATCCATTGGCGTGTGATGATTCAATTTTTTTTGAACATTTTCAGCTTCCTCTCTGGAACAAATAAACCAATTTCAACAAATTAATAGAGAATCTTTGGGCAGAGTTGGACAAAACCTTTGAATTTCATCACCCCTCTCCCCCCTCCCCCTTGGGCCTGAGGGATGGGGCCAAAACCATAAAAAATAATTCAAATTTTGTAAAATCTTTTTCTCTGCTTATGGACATCAAGCAGTCAAAATGTTGTCATGGTTATAACATACAATGAGTCCTTTATCTAAATTGTAAAATTCATGGCCCCAGGGGTTCAGGAGGTAGAGTAGAGCTTTCTTGATAATCATGGTGAATTCCTTGAAAATCCTCTCCTCTGCTCCTGGGTATTGTTTAAACAAACTAAGGTCAAGGTTATGATAAGCATGGATGGCTCTTTCAAAATTTTGAAATTCATGATTGCCCTGTGTATGGAGGTTATGTGAAAGATGGGAGGCTCTATTGAAAGTGTAATATCATTGAAAATCTATTTGACTCAGGAGCTTGAGAAAACTGAGGTGGAAGAGAAGGATGAAGAGGAAGAGGAAGAAGAAGGAGGGAAAAAAGAGGAAGGCACCGTGGAGGAGGAGGATGAAGAGGTTTATGATGAGGAAGATATTGAGGAGGTAGGATTATAACTTACAAGGTCATTTATTAAAATTCTTATAAAACAGTGTTGAGCGTTTTTGTTTTTTTCAGTAACAACATTTTTAATATATTATCTATTTTTATACCATTAAAGAATGCTGTTGCTAGGTTTTATTAGATTGAAACTTCAATGTGATATCATAAACATATTATACAAGTAAACCAATTTCTCTATCTTACAATATGTTTATTAATAAATATACTTTGCACTGATAGGTTTTATTTATCAAACTGGCATGGCATTGGATACACAAAATTTCCATCTTCAGTGGTCTGATTTTTTCTGTTACAGGAGACAGACTACATTCTGTCATACTTTGACAATGGTGAGGAGTATGGTAATGATGATGATGATGCAGATGAAGGCCCAGTCTACTGAGGGAAGGTAGATTTCTCAACTGTTCATCGAGAGGAAAGGGAGATAGAATTTACTGAGCAGAAAGGGATAAAACTCTACAATTTACTGAGCGGAAAGAGAAAAAACTCTACTATTTACCAAGAGAAAAGGGATAAAACTCTACAGTCTACCAAGAGGAAAGGGAAGAAACTCTTGAGTTTATTGAAAGGAAAGGGAGGAAACTATTCAGCTCAGTGAGGAGAGAGGACATAGAGAGGAAAATATTTACCTGGTGCTAAACTTCTCTTGACTTAATGACATGGAAAAAGAATATTTTATGAATAACAGTTATACACTTGTAAATCGTTAAACAAAATGTCCTGCCCAGTGATGCTGCGTTATTGAGATGCTTTATTCATAATAGACATCGTTAAGTGCATTGGTAGAACAACACTTCATATCATGAAATAAACTGCTTATTAAAAGTGTTAGTGAACAATAAAATTGTTATCAAATCTAATGTTTTCCATGTCTCTTTTAGTTTGGAAAAGCTATGAGGCAAGTGTTTGATTTTCAGTTACAATTAACTGTAGATGCACTAATATTCCTGGGGATAAAAGTTCACTGATTTGACAGTTAAAATAGTTTCATTGGCATTTAATTTTTGTGTTTTGAAAGTAACCCTATTCAATATATACCGGTAGTCACTTCAAATTTCGTGTTGAATTTAATTTTGTTGATATTAATTGTTAACAACAAAAGAACTATATGCGGTATATTGCATATGTTTGCCCCCACAAAAGTCAAATTTTGAAAACTTCCTGAAATGTGCTGAATTCAATAAATTGTACGAGAAATATAAGTTAACAGAAAATATTATAGTTCCAGAGCAGTGTATTCACAATTTCTGTTTTTATGACGTCACAAACTAGTCCGATTTTATATCCTTTTTCAGAAAGAGGACAAAATGGACAAAATTTCAACAATTTAAGCTTTAAAATTTATAGAGCGCATGTGTGTTCAGGAACAATATTGACATATTTCATTGATATTATCATTCTACACATTATATCAAAATATTTATCCTGAACACACATGCGCTCGGTGACTTTTATTTAAAATATCGACGAAATATGTACATTGTTCTGCAAAATTCATAAAAAACTGAAATTTACGTCATATTTGTGACGTCATTACGTACATATGATGTCATTACTTATGAAATTATTCAGTGCTTTGAAGTCAGCATATACTCCCCTGTTTAAGGACTTAATTAAATATTACTCCATCAAAGTTTGATTTGGGGGGGCAAATGTTGGTTAATAACCGCATATAGTTCTTTAATCCCCAATGGACATCTGTGCTTTTGCAGTATAATTTTTCCCATCCTTCTGCTGTAAATTGTATTTTTCAGGCAGTATTTTTGCAATAGAATTGGTAGATATATACATGTAAGGGGTGTTAAGAAAGTTCGTTCCGGGATGAAATATTTTCAAATTTTGCTAACCTTTCTTCATCATGAATATATATATACTTGTAAGGGATGTTAAGAAAGTTCATTCCGGGATGAAATATTTTCAACCCCCCCTCCGACCCAGGGGGCATAAAAAAATAACCATTTTGCTAGATGCACCTTTCTTCATCATGAATATATATATACTTGGATCATTCAAAGTACTGCTTAAACTAAAGAGAGGAATTTTCAAGTCTGACAAAATCACAAGAATGTGCTTTAGATTTATAGCAATTCATTTCTAGCAGGGAATTCATACTACCCATAGTCCTCTGCGTCTCCGCACACAGAGACGGTTTGGTACAAACGAACTCTGGCGGAAGTTTGGCAGGGAATTATGGGATTTTTCTTCCAAATGGAAATATAAATGACATCTTTAAAGCACCCGAATGAAAGAAATGCTGGTCATTTTGAGTGAAAATAAAGAATAATTTACTTTTGTTTCTTCCTAGCTTATCTTGCTTCAGACAAGCTGATGACCGTAGGTATAAGAACGATATATCACTTTTCAAAAGAATAGGTTTGTCATTTTGAAGATTTTCACAGATTTGATAATTTTTGCTAAGTATTTGGAAGGATGTTTTGACCTGTGTGCTTAATATTTGTCACAAATATGCGGCATCACTAATTGTTCTGAACAGACATCACCTGTTTTAATGCCTGCTCTCCCCGTATTGATTCAACAAAAGACAGTTAAAACCTTATCAGTAGCAAGAATAGACTGTAAACATGAAATATCACAAATTGTAAATATCTTCTCGTCATATTTCTTTTTGAAAATAAAATAAAAATTTGGAATGAACTTTCTTAACACCCTTTAGTTAGAATTTGATGCACTGTTGTGCTGGAGTTTCAGATCAAGTTTCTGTGTTATGGTCTTCAGAAAATTTATTTCTAACTTAAGAATGACTAAAAAGTGAAAACCCTATAAATTTTATTTTTATGTTGCATTGGATTGCCAGTGGTGGATTGTAAATTTAACTTGAACTTGGCACTTCGGTCCTTTAAGCAGTGACGAATCATTTTTTGTGCCAGTTCCTACTGCAACATGGGACCTGTGTCTGAAGGACCAGCCTCCTGGTCTCTGATGGAATTTTAAACCAGTGATGCAGGGATCAATTCCATACTTTGCAACGCTAAAACGTTCAGACCACTGCCCTGTATAGGCAACTTGCAAAGAGTGAAACATTTATACAGCAGTCACAAAAAAACATCTGTGCACTTCCTTGGGTGAATATTGGTATATATTTGTGGGAAAAATTATACCACATACAACACATCATATGATCAGCTTTTCCCTCATCTGTGCACTTCCTTGGGCTGAATATTGTTATATATTTGTGGGAAAAAAACTATATTAAGTAGAAATATGTTCACAACAATTTATTGTGAAGTAAAAACATACACATTCATATAAATATATTGCTTGCAAATTTTACTTCACATTTAAAGACAAAAATCAAGATTTTGTTTTCATTAATACTATCTGATCATTAAAACTGTCCATCCCCAAACAACATATCAAGTGCTGCCTGAAGGTCCCCTCCTGTGGCCTGTAAAGCTCGCCTAGCTAAAGCCTCATCTGTGATTCCCATGTCTCTCAGCTGCTGTAGCTGAGTCTGTAGAATGGGGCCCTAAATAAAACAGAATATATTAACTTAAAGAAATTGTTTTGTTATAAAAGGTGCTGTCACAAATGTGATTTATTATTTGTCTGAATGTAATGCTTTTAGTTTACCTCATTGGTTGACTCCTGGGCTTGCCTGATGGCTTGTTGGAAGAAATCTGCTGTTATTGCACCAGGTAAGATGTTAGGCAATGGCTACAATAAACAAATAAACTGAGTTTTCATTATCTAATTTAAAAAAAAAAAAAAAAAAACTTTTTATGCAGTCAAAAATTTTCCATGATTTTACCCCAGTATACTTGAGGTACAGTTAAGGAATATAGTATATCATCTATGAAATCCACACAATTTTCTACCAATGAATATTATGATTGCCTTGATCCCATGGAAAAAAAGTATATTTACAGTACAAAATATTGGTTATACATGTATTAAGAAATTTATTCTCATCACATTTGTTGGATTTCAGACCATTTTTACACTGTAAGATGTTTGATAAAATCACATATTTCACTCTTCAATCTTATTTTTCATTGATATACATTTAGAGAGTATTTTAACATAAACAAGTTCTATCAATTCTTTCTTTATCTCATTGCTCGGCTCTGATTGACCTACTTGACTGGTGGCTCCCCTGGTGAGACCCCTGTGGCTGAGGCTAAGGCCGCTGCTAACTGTGAGGCTGTGATTCCACCAGACTAAAAAAATTAGTATTAATTAAAGAATGGCTGTTGAATTTATAAATATTCAATGATATTTTGATGGAAAGCAGATACATGTACATAGTACATACACTGGGACCAGGTCTGTTAGCTATTGAGTCATCTTCATCATCAGACATTTGATCCAGGTAGAATGACCCTGCAAAAATTTCATCAAAAGTATACACTTGATTAGTTTCATAAATCAATAAAGTATGATATACTTTAGACAGAACTAATAACAAGCTGATGCTTAAACAATTTTTAAAGTTCATATTGATTTGTTACTTTTTTTTCAGTCAATGCCTTATCTGATGTGTTTTTATGCCCAGTTAATCAAAGAATCGTGTGCAAGGAATTTCATAAACCACATGTATATTTCTTGTGACAAGACCTTCCTTTGGGTACCAACATTTTTTATTCATGATTGTGACTTTGAGATTCAGCTAAATTTGAAGAAACTTAAACCTTGCTTTTATACAAAGTTGCTGCTAGGAGTTACCTATTTCACTACTGCAATACTTGGGACAAGACCTTTCCTTTGATTCCATTATATTTTTTTTTACCTCAGGACATTGATCTTTAAGTATGAACTACATTTTGAAAACAGGGCACGGTGGGCATCAGTGTTTCATAAACACATCTACCTACCTAACAGCTACCTACCCCAGGGGATGGCAAATCCCACTGCCTGATGCCCAGGGCTTATCAACCACTTGTTCGCAGACAAATAAATAAATAAAATCAACATTTAAGCCATAGATTTAAAACTGGGCATAGGGGCTTGCATGATCTACTCAATATTTGTCTTCCTTTTTTTTTTTGAAATATTTATAAATGCATTATTAGTTTATGGTAGGGCAAGCAAAAATTCAGGTAGGGCAAGGGAATTTTGACCTTGTACTTGCCCTTGGACAAGTGCCTTAAAAATCTATTTGTCAGCCCCTGTACCTGTAGTAATTCTATCTGAATCTCGACCAGAGCCCTCTTCATTCACCATCTGACAAACCGTCATGGCTGCTTGTCCAAAAGCTGGGTGTTTGTTTACCACTCTGCAAAATAAATAAAAAAATACGGTTAATAAAATTAAACTAGCATTCTGCAGTAAAAACCTTAACAAGGAATATTTGAGAATCATTTCAGCCCCATCATACCTTAAATGAAATATTTACTTATACATTGTATACTTATCAATTATATATTCATGTATGTATATTTTTATGTACAGGTGTACATTTTTTTTTTTTATTGAATAATCCAAGCAAATCTGATTTGAGACCAGTGTCAGTTATATAAAGTACCTACTCTTTTATGTTTTCAGGATGAGCCAAAATAGCTAAAAGTTCTTGATCCTGTAACATGGCTGAAAAGTAGAATAAAAAGTAGGTAAAAAAAAACAAAAGTGTCATGAGTAGCTAACTATGACTAAATACATAATTAATCATTGTAAAACACACACACACACACAAAACAAAAATAAATTTTTTTTTTAGAAATTTCTGATGAGACTGTAGCATTACAGGTTTGTAATTCCATTTACTAGTGGGTTTACATTTACACAATTATGTTTTACATTGTCTTTTAACTCTTTTCCCTCTAATGCATTTATAACATATACCTTTA